CCAACTTGCTCTTGAAACTTTTACTGACCTCTCCTTAATACGTGGCTCTATGATAGTAGCCTGCTTTGGCTCAGGCTGAATGAGTTCTGTATGGATTCATAGTTGTTGATATTAATTCAAGTCATGATTACTATTGTAGTGACCCTTAGCACCTCTATCACAACACATAATTACCATTTCTTTTTTTGTGGTGGGAAAAACTAAGATCTAGTGTCTTAGCAAGTCTGATGTTCATAATACAGGACTGTTGTCTATAATTACTATTACGTGCATGACATCTCCAGGACTTATTTATCCACTAGTTGCAAGCTTGTACCATTAAACAATATCTCTCCTTTTGTCCTACCTCCAGTTCCTGGTACCACCATTCTATGCACTGTTTTTAAGAGTTCTTCTTTTTTAGGCTGCATATATAAGTGAGATAATATAGTATTTGTCTTCCTTTATCTGACTTATCTCACTGAGCATAATGTCCTCAAGGTCCATCCATGTTTTTGCAAATAGCAGGATCTCCTTTCTCATGGGTGAATAATATTATATATACATATAAGTCACATCTTCTTTACCACTCATCTATCGACAGACACTTAGGTTGTTTCTGGCTTATCTTTTGATGATTCAACTAACAGTGTCCAGGAGCATAAAGCAGGGTTGTATTCTGCAACCCCTTTTGTATTAGTTCAATATTAACTATTTGAAACTGACTTTAGTAAATGTGGATGCTTGTTCATTGTCCATAAAAATAGTTGAGTTTCTTCCTGTACACTAATATTAATGTCACAAACTGAAAGTGGCCTGGGGGGTGATGCATCCTATGATCACACCACTAACAGTAAAACTAGTCTTTTTTTTTCCCACACCACTCAGAAGTGTTTTATTAAAAACAAAAATGAAACAAAAAAACCCTTTAAATCAGTAAGTCTGATTAAATTCAATATTAACTCAAGTTCTCAAAAACCCATCAGGGAAAGCCAACAGGTACATCAGAGAAAGCAGGCAGCTGCTGACAAGTCTTCAGTGGAAAAGTCAGTTGCACACTTACTTAAGCTGCCCTAATGATTATCAAGCCCACGTTCTGTTTTTCAAAAACAGGTTTCAAGGAAAGCACACGGACACCCCCAGTAGTACAAAGATGGAACAATGAAGTTCAAGGAAACAGGAAAAGCCAAATATGACAATACACACCAATAATCTATAAAATAAAATAAGTCTTTCCATCCTGGAAGAAAATGGGAAACCTCATGAATGTTAACACATAAAAAGAGAACCAACCCCTCTTGGAGCAACCCTAAACATTTTCCCAATGACTAAGCCACAAGTGACAGCTTAGGACACCATTAACATATAGTTTTTACATACAATATGTATGTAAATTAGAGGGTTTTTTTACTCAATTAGCATTTTTTTCTTTTGATCGTTTCCCTAATTTTCTCTAGCAACATTTTTCCTTTGGTTTGACCAGTTGAACTCAAAAGTTTTGGAACCTAAAGTGAGTATCAACTCCTACTGGAATACAACTTGGGAAATGCAATCCTAGAAAACGCAAATTTTAACTGAAGTGGCTTGACAAAGTTAAGCATCCATTCTCAATGTGACAATGTCCGCCATATTAATCACTAGGTGAATGGCTTCTCTTGGCTGGATCACATGACCCAGAATGGTAATGGCATACACTGTGGTGAGGTATTGCAGAACTATATGTACAAATACCCACCTACTTAAGCTTTCAATAAATACAACCATTTTAAAACATCTAAAACCATTTCAGTAAAATAAATAAAAAAATATTGCATTTCTATTGGTCTGTTTTGCCTCTTGAACTAGCTTGGAGTGTTGTTCATGACAGAAGACACAACAGTTAATTAGTTGCTACTCCAAGCTCCATAGGCTTCAATATTTCCTGCTCTTCAAGCCTCAGCACCTTTTTTGCAATGATAATGGTATTCTTCATCAGCATTGCCACTGTCATGGGACCAACACCCCTGGGACTGGAGTGATGTCACTAGCTTTCTTTCTGACTCCTTCAAAATCCACATCTCCAACCAACTTGGGGTTAACAGTTATGGGATCCTGAAGTCTATTTATTCCCATATTGGTGACTACTGCTCCCTCCTTTAAAAAATTTATTTTATTTTATTTAAATTCAATTAATTAACATATAATGTATTATTAGGTTCAGAGATAGAGTTCAGTGACTCATCAGTCTTATATAACACCCAGTGCTCATTATATCATGTACCCTCCTTAATGTCCATCACCCAGTTACCCCATCCCCTCACCCCCATCCCCTCCAGCAACCCTCAGTTTGTTTCCTATAGTTAAGGGTCTCTTATGGTTTGTCTCCCTCTCTGATTTCATCTTGTTTTATTTTTCCCTCCCTTCCCCTATGTTCCTCTGTTTCGTTTCTTAAATTCCACATATGAGGGGCGCCTGGGTGGCTCAGTTGGTTAAGCGACTGCCTTCAGCTCAGGTCATGATCCTGGAGTCCCAGGATCGAGTCCTGCATTGGGCATCCTGCTCAGCAGGGAGTCTGCTTCTCCCTCTGACCCTCCTCCCTCTCATGTGCTCTCTCTCTCTCTCAAATAAATAAAAAAACTCTTTTTAAAAAAAATTCCACATATGAGTGAAATCATATGATAATTGTCTTTCTCTGATTGACTTATTTTGCTTAGCATAATACTCTCTAGTTCCATCCACATCTTTGCAAATGGCAAGACTGCATTTTTTTGATGTCTGAGTAACATTCCATTGGAGGTATATACCACATCTTCTTTATCCATTCATCTGTCAATAGACATCTAGGTTCTTTCCATAGTTTGGCTATTGTGGACATTGTTGCTATAAACATTGGGGTGAAGGTGCCCTTTTGCATCACTACATTTGTATCTTTGGGGTAAATACCCAGTAGTGCAATTGCTGAGTTGTAGGTTAGCTCTATTTTCAACTTTTTGAGGAACCTCCATAGCGTTTTCTGGAGTAGCTACACCAGCTTGCATTCCCACCAACAGTGTAAGAGGTTTCCCCTTTCTCCACCTCCTTGCCAACATTTGTTGTTTCCTGACGTGTTAATTTTAGCCATTCTGACTGGGGTGAGGTGGTATCTCATTGTGGTTCCTATTTGTATTTCCCTGATGCCAAGTGATGTTGTGCTGCTCCCTCCTTGATCATAGCTGCTGTGATCAGATTTGGACTGCCTGTAGCAGAGACCACTATATCTGCAAGAACCGTATGTTTCCTCGGTTGCTCTTTGGGAGGGTTCGGATGAGACACGGTAACGGTGGCATTGCCTCCAGGGCCTTCACACGCCCCATCTGTGTGTAGTAGCTGTGCAATGGGCATGCCAACATTTTTGACCTTCCAGCCACAACCACATTCTTCCCTGGGATTGGAATGCCAATTTGCTTAATTATTTCCTAGACACTCCATGAGGTCATCGGTAACATGGACTACTGTCCAAACACATTTGCCCTACACAAATGACATGAAAGCCATCAACATCCTTGTCTGGAGAAACAGCATTATAGATCTCTTCCTAGTCAGTGTGCTCTGGAAGAGGCAGCTGAACAAGGAGGCCACCTGTGTTATCATTATTTAATTTATTGATTCAATTCAACAGGTCTTCCTCTGAAACTGAAGCCGGTTTCACAATGGTGAGGCGATTTCCACATCTGCAGCTGCCCTGGTTTTGTTGAGGTTGGAGGGGTGACTTGCAGGATTCTCACCAACCAGAACCACACTCCCAACCACCTTGCAGCTTGTGGCCCAATGTCACCCATTCTTCCACCTCCTGCCACACTTCCTGCTTGATCTGTGGGCAAGTTTCCTTCCAGAAATGACAACAGCTTCATTTCGATTACTGAGAGGTGGAAAGGGCAATGGCGGAGGCGGCAGCTCTTTAGGGGCCAGGGGGGCAGCCAGGGGACAGCCGGTGGCCGATGTGGACACAGTGGGGTGGGGGGATGCAGCTGCCCTCACCTGTGCTGGTGTCTGCCTGGTGAGTCTGGTCTTCAGTCAACTATTTTAATATTAAAATAATTATTATGTGGCTGTTCTCCAAATGTAGTGATTCTAAGCTTAATAATTCCATTCAACCAGCTAATTTTTAAATTAAAGCAGCAATATCCCAACTGTTTTAATTACATCCTCATGAGTGAAAAAATGTATCCGCATGCTCTCCCAATCCGTATGGATTTATTTATAAATTATATACCCATGCCAGGATATCAATATGTTATCTACATTAGAAAGCATGCATAAAACGGCAATTTAAAAAGATGACATACAGATAAAAATGAGTGGTTTTTTTCTTACTTTACTCATTACTAGAACAATATCACTCAATTATGATGATGACTAAGCTGCTTCCTTTTAAAAATGCCTTGCTAATCCTGATGGCTTCATGCTCCCCCCGGTAGCTAATACAACAGGCACAACACAAACTCAAGGCACAGCTAATAATTAACAAGAGGGGAGGTAAATCCATATTTTAGGTAGTCTTCCTATTAAGCTTAAGTTTGGAGGTTGATGTTTGGTCGGATAGATCAGAACCTTGCTTTACCTCATAATGTGGCTGATAAAAAGCTCGCCCCTCTGAAGGATCAGAGACGTGCAGGTTGTGCCATTTCCTTTTTGTTTACTTATGCTTGTTATTTGGGGGGATTTGTCTTTAATCCTCTCCATTTTGTGAAAGGTAGTTTAGTTGAAACCAGATGCTCCATGCCATACACCCACCGAGACACATCTGAACTCCAACATGTGGCCATTGGGTGAGAGTGAACAGCAACAACAAAAAATGTGTCAACTCCTTGCTTGAGGAACTTTCCACATCCCCATACCTAGAGAACCACGGAGGGGGGTGGGGTTGGGTCCCAGGCAGGTCACACCTGGCAAGCTGACCAAGCAGGTGAGGGGCCTGGATCAACGAAAATATTTAAATAGTAGTACAACTCGACTCATTTCATGGTTACGTATAAATGTAGATCTAAGTGCATCCTGTGTTACAGGGCCCCTAGAGACTCCAGGCAGAAAGGTATTTGCTACTAGCTCACCCTGGAAAGTTCACTGGGAACCACTGCTGCTTATAAATGGACGTCCCAGAAAGCTGCTTCTCAGGCGCCAGGTGCTTCCATCATAACTTCACAGGTTTGCCTTACCTACACATCCTCTGTACTCTTCATATTGATATCGATGTTGATGTATTTTTTAAGTTACATTTATTTTAAAAATTTTAAAAAAGAAACATTGTGCTGCCGGCATGAATGGAAAACTTCGTCTCACTTCCCTCTCTCCTGTTTCGCAAACCCCCGGTCTTCTGACCACAGTCTGCACCTCGCAGCTGCGAGCCCAGCGGGCTCCTTGCCCGCCTCCCTGCAATACCCAGCATTCGGTGCGGCCCGGCGACGCCCGGGATGGGAAAGTGCATCGCACTGCACCTGTTGACGGGCTTCTCCGCGATCAGTGCCCAGAGGGTGGGGAGGGTGAATGTGCCTTCACAGATCACCTTGTAGACCGTGTTTGAGGAAGCACCTCTTTTTTTGTTTACTTCCAGGAAATACAGAACCAAATATAAGACTCAAATATAGTCGTGGTATTGTCCTTATGGCTTGGGTATTTGGGCTAGTGTCCCTTATCACTCCTGACCCTGGGTCTTGATTTCCAACCATCACTTATGTTTTTCTCAGTTCTTATTCATTGTTTGTATTTATGGTTTGCTGGCATTTTTTGTGGCTGCATTCTTGTACCAAGCCACTGCAAAGCTTTGTGGAATGGGGCAGAAGTACATAAGATATCTCACATGACATTCCCTGCCCCCAGAGGTCATTACTGACTTCATCTCTCATGAGGATAGAAGTCTGTGTATCTTATGGAGGACAGCAGTAAGGACGTGTGGGATGTCTTATTATATCTACTTCATGACATTTCACAATCTACTGTATAAATTCTACACAGAGACCGGCCCGCTTATTACTCAAAACAAGCCTATGTAAAGGGCACACCAAAAGAATGTGGTAGAAGTGTTAGATGGCCAGTTCTCCCAAGAGACCATTTTCTCTCTCTGTCTCTAGCTTTCTTTCTTTCCCTCCCTCTCTCCCTTCCTCACTCTTTCTCTTATCCCTTCTATTCCCCTCCTTTCCCTCCTCTCCCCTTCTTCCCTCCTCTCTTCCCCTGTTTCTCCTTCATCCCCTGCCCCCACCATAAGAACAATCCTGGGCTAGCCTGCTGGAGGTTGAGATAAATCTCCTGAAACAGAACCAGTTTGTCACAGCTGAAAGCCATCTTAAAATTGCCAGTGGACCCCAGCCGAGCTCAGCTGAGCCTCTCCCAGAACCACCTAGCCATAGATTTGTGAGAAATCATAAGTGGTGGTTGTTTTTAGCCACTAAGTTCTGGGGTGGTTTGCTGTGTGGCAATAGCTAACTGATCTAGAGATTCAGAGGTTGAGGTTACGTGACAGTCTGTTGGTGGCAGAGCTAGGAGAAGAATCTGGCTGCTGCTTATTCCTGGTCTAGGAGTTTGTCTATCATAGCATACTTCTGAATCGATCCACCCGCCTGCCCCTCGAGGAGCTGAGCTTCTGTCCTTGGAAGAGTGGCCGATGGTGTATTCTGTCCCCTCATGGAGTCAATGGCGGCCACATGGATGACCGCATGACATCCTTAGGCAACGAAGGTCTGTTTAGATTTGTAGAACGAATCTCTGTTTTGGAAGACATATCAAAAAATCTTTGGTGGTTCTGTAACTATCTGGCATCTCCATCTGCCCGTTTTTTTACATAAAAATCCCATAAACCAAATCAAATTAGCTCTACTTGATTTTCCATCTTAACATGTAGTGGTAAAATAAAACATGCACATTGTCATCTGGAGGTCACGGAATACATCAATTCCCCATGTTGTTGTGACTCTGAGATGCCTTCAGGGAACGTTGGGAGGTGGCTCTCCCTCCCACTGCACCTTGGCTGGTTGCTTCACTTCTGGCTGTGGTACAAAATGTCAGCCTACGGCTGATACTCGGCTTGATTTCTAAGACCAGGCTCATTGGCATGCTTTGTAAAATCTCCTATCAGCATAGTAAGAAAGGTCACTTAACAATGAGACAGTCAATACGTTTCCACCCCAAGAATGAAGTTTGGTGTAAAAAGAAGTAAAAATAGTGCCAGGAAGAAATTATCAGCTCATCAACATGTTTATTAAATGCATCATACTTGGAGCACCAGATGTGAGAAAGGCAAAGGCTAAATGCCAGCAGCAGGGTTGCTAAGTAAATTATTTCTTGTTGCTGGTAATGAGAGGTTGTACTTGGTGGGAGTTGCCATGAAATTATATGTTTCTGCTGTTTTGTTCCTCAATGAACCGTGATCAACTCTAGGAACTGTTTGGATTAAGTTTTCCCTTTGGTGTTGATAGAAAAGAAAATTCCCTCTAAAAGAAAACCTTTATAAGCTCCAATTTCTTTTTTCTGAATTCACAATTTCCTTATGTCTTCATTTTGGGGTGTTGGTGACAGAGCAATACATGAATTCAGCTGATTAATAAATGTATCAAATGTAATTTTATGATTACCTCCAAGTCTCCCTTTTCCTTATACCTTGCAAAAAAACTACTGTTGACTTGAGTTATGCTCAGGACTTAGAATGGGCAGAAAGAAAGAAGATCCTAGAAAGATGAGACTTTGTTAGCATTTTCAAATCATATGTCTGCTGGAGAAATGGGAAAATCTTACAATAAAGCTGCTGATTTGATTAAGAAGACTACTAATTACACACTGTAGCAACACCCTCATGCACAATCTCCTATTCATAGATCTGGCATTTCCCCCATTTCTTGTTTAGAAAAACATTTTCTGGCTTAGTTGAGAAGAACAAGTCATTAGAAGCTCCAGTAAACAATTCTGTGTGGGGTGTCCATTTGAGCAAGCAGCTGTCCTTTGAAAATTGCCCTTTATTGTTTGAAGCTCCCAATTTTGCAGTCAGGAGGTCGTATAAAATCAATTAAGTCAGAGGATCTCTGGGTAATCAGTTCCAAGAACTGTTGCCCCAGCTGCGATTATTTGCTGACTGTGGCAGCTTACCCCTGTTCCTGTCACTGGCACCCACACATTAGCCTTCACCTCCTGGCAGGAGTGTGGTCCCGCCCCCCTGAGCTTGTCTCCTTCGCCCCCCTTGCTGGGTGGGCGGTTGGGCGCAGGCTGCCAGTCCCTGAGACTTCCCCTGGCTGCACTCTCCAGAGATGCCAGGAGGATGCCCTGCTGGGTTAACAGGTTGTGACTTTCACTTCCTCCTCACTGGCAGGTAGGAAGCTGGAAGGAAGGACCGCAAATTGCTGTGTTGCTATGGCAACCAGAGCTGCTCTTCAGAAAAGCTGTTGAAGAGAAAAAGCTTCTCTAGTCTTCTGATTATCCTTCTGTATTTTCCCCCTTTCTTCTCTCCTTATTAGGCACCTCAAGCAATCATTTCTCCTAATAACTCTGTACACCTCCTCCTTAAGGAAATCACTCACACCGAGGCTGAAGCAACTGATAAGTGTTCATCCTTTAATTTAAGGTACAAATTCTTAAACCAAAAGAAGAAACTCTCATAATATCGAATGTTCTGATTTTATGCATCATTTGGCTGGATGAAGAAGTATTTTTGATGTAGAGGGTAGAGACTTCTTCATTTATTCATTCACTAAACATGTATTAAATACTCACCAATAAGTACCAGGTGAAATGCTAAGCCTTGAGGATTCAGAGACACAGAAGACATTGTTTCTATCTCAGTCTGGTGGAAAGGCAGATATGAAAATAAATAGTCACAATAAGGTAGTGCTGGTGTCTGATAAAAGCCCATCTGGCCCTGTGGGGCCTCAGGGATGGGTGAGTCATTCTGCTGGGAAGGGTGTGAGCGTCAGGAAAGGCTCAGTACGCAGGCGAGTGGAGAGGCACGCACAGGTATGTGGTATGTACCCCTTACACGCTCTCCTGAGTTCATTCTCTCAGTTTCATTTACTGGCTAGTGGGTTGAGACCGTAGAAAGCCCAGGCAGTCTTTGTGAGATAAAGTGTAAATATGATTCAGAGAAAGCTGGGGTGTCACTTGTGAGTGTTTGGAAGCCACGTGGAGATGGTAGTGACGGAAGCTGGGAGGCTGGAGGCTGGCAATGAGGGGAACCACTTGGGGACCCTCATGGGGGAAAGTCCAGGCTAGAACATTCAACTGGACCTGGGGGTGGGGGCAGAGTTGGGGACAACCAGAGGCTAGTGTGGGAGGCGTAGTTGGTGTGAGGTGATCAAGCCTGTGGGGGTATGGGAGTGTGAGATTGGTGGGGACACCAATGAGAAAAGATCCATCTGACTATTATGAAGGCCAGGAGTGTAGTGGCATGGTTAACAGCTGGGCTCGGGAATTCAACAGATGTGGTTTGTCTCTGCTCTACTACCACTAGCTGGAGCCTTTGAACAAATAGGAATCTTTCCGGGCCTGTCTTCTCAGCTGTACAGTGGGGAATTAGAGATCTGTTATGGGTTGAATTGTGTCCTCCTTCCCAATTCACATGTTGAAGTCCTACCCCCCTCCCGGCATTGTGTTTGGAGATAGGGTCTCCAGAATGTGACTCTATTTGGAGACAGAGTCTTTTAAAGTTTAAATGAGCTCATTAGGGTGGGCCCTCGTACAATATGACCCATGTCCTTATATGAATTTGGACACAGACACAGACAGAGGGAAGATAATGTGAGGACCCAGGGCGAAGATAGCCATCTACAGCCAAGGAGAGAGGCCGGGAGCAGCCCCTTCCCTCACAGCCCTTGGTAGGACACCTTGATCTGGGACTTCTAAGCTCCAGAACTGTGAGAAAATAAATCTCTTTTGTTAAGCACCACCCAGTCTGTGGTGCTTTAACTAATACGTAGAGTTGTCGTGAGGATTAAATAATTTATATAATATAGCAAAACACCTGATAATATTCAGTATGTGGTAGCTGTTATCAATAACAATGAAATTGGCTCCACTTTAAACAAAAATAAATCCTAACTCACTTGCATTATTAGACTGATAAGGCTATCAAGATTACTTGTGTCTCTGCTTAACTGAGTGTCAGAGGGTCCTTTTTTTCCATTCTGATGTTTAAATCTTTTAAATATGCCTCATCCATCCTTATACTGATTAAAATTAAAGCTTTTTGTTTTTTTTTTTTTACTTACAGGCCCGAGTGCCTCTATTTAATTGCAAGAGATTGAAATTGAACGTGTCCTGCTTATAGAAAGAAGTTTTGTTTTGTTTTGTTTTTAATAAGTCAGTCAAGTTGTCAATGTTTTCTAATGACTTGCTTCTTTTTTTTTTTTCACAACAGAGTGCTGAAAATTCCAGTTAACTTTAAGGTTCTAGGCAATTGAATAAATCCAATGTGTCAACATTCTTTGCTTTCCTTGGGCACATTCTGCAAAACACAGTCTTACATAACTGCTCTACATTGTGAGGACTCAAACTTGTGTCTGGAACTTTAATTATAATAAAAAAAATATGCAAATTACTATCATTGTCTCTATTTATTTTGGACCAGCTGCTTCTAAACAATTAACAAACAAATCATGTAAATGTAATTAGGAGAAATACCAGGCTCAGAGCAGAAAACAGAAAAAATTGAATTCTGTTTACAGTCTTCCAGATTATGCTTCTCCATTGCATTTATAAGAGCTGGTACCAAACAGTAAATTTCACTTTATCATTACCCTGATCTGACATTTCTACTTATCTTCTAAGAGTGAAATTTATTTAGTTTCTTTCTCTCCCTTGAGAAGAAGGTTATAAACCACAGAACAAATGATCTTTATTGGTTCTTATCTACCCAAGAAAAGTCTGTGCCCAGAATTTCAAGGAAAGAAGAATGGGGAAGGAAGATTATGGGAAGATGTAACTCAGACTGCCAGGAGGAGGGAATACAGGACCTTTAGTGGGTAGGGTGGATTCAAATGCCATTTCTCCCAACAGGATGTGAAGCCTAGTGCACTACTCCTTGAATCTGGGCTGTACTTTGCAACTAGCTTTGGCAAATTGAACAGTGTGATTTCCAAGCAAGGCCTCAAGAGTACTTACAGCTTCTGCTCTCATTTTCCTGCATCATTGTCCTGAGATTGCCATGTAAAGAAGTTTGCTTGAGTCACCTGGAAAATGACAGAGCACATGAAAAGAGACCCAGCTGACAGTCAGCACCAACTGCCAGACATAAGAGGGAGGCATCTTAGACTATCCAGCTCCAGTCCCAGGCAAGTCCAGGAGAATAATCTAGCTGAGTCTAGCCCATATTGCTGTCCTACCAGATTGAGAGTCAGTAAAAGGAATGTGGTTTTAAGTCACTAAGTTTTGGGTTATTTGTTACACAGCAATAAATATCTGATACAAAAGCACATAGGATATTGACAAAACATTTTACAAAATCCAACAGTCATGATGAAAACATCCAACAAAAATTTACAAAAATTGTAAAATTGTTAATTAAATGTGTAGATTATGTAAAACATACTGACTAGAAAATATAAATTGAATTTGGCAAGGCAAGGGAAGGCAAACCTGAAAATAATCAAACATTTTAGGTGTAGAATACAATTTGACCTATGTAGTTGTTTCAAAACTCATCAGTTTCTTGAAAATCATTGTTAAGGCTGATACAAAAAGTACATTTCTAGTTTTACAGATTCTAATTTAATGGTTAAATTACTATGCATTATGCAGGCTGTAAAACTGGTCTTATTTATTTTATATACTTTTCTCATTCAGAACACTTTTCATTACGTTTCATTGTGTTGAAAGGACGGTCTTATGCATCTGTTTCAGTGCCATATTTTGGAGGCAATCTTTTGCTAATAGTTAAAGAACTGTTGTCTTAAGAGTGAAATAATAATTCATTAAAAGGATCTGTGAAATAAAAAAAAAATCTTATTAGAAGTTAATTTCCTTAACCTGATAAAAGCTATCTATGAAAAGCCCTTGAAGAACATCATACTTAATTGTGAAAGACCGAATGCTTCCCCTCTAAGGTCATAAACTCAACAAGGATGTCCACTCTCACCACTTCCATTCACCATTGTGCTGAAGATTCTAGCTAAGACAATTAGTGAAGAAAAAGAAATAAAATGCATCCGGATTGTAAAGGAAGAAATAAGATATTCTACTTGCAGAAGATATGATCTCCCATATGGAAAATCCTAAGGAATCCACTAAAAAATTATTAAAACTGACAAATGAGTTTAGGAAGGAGTAAGATGCCAGATCAATGTACAAATATAATTGTCTTTCTATACACTTGCAATGAATAGTCAGAAAATGAAATTAAGAAAACAATTCCATTGACAATAGCATCAACAAGAATAAAATACTTATATATTTGTTTAACATAAGAAATCCAAGACTTGTATAGTTAAAACTGTAAAACACTATTGAAAGAAAACAAAGATCTAAATAAATGGAAAGACATCATGTTCATTAATGAGAAGACTTAACATTGTTGAGATGGCAATACTCCCCAAACAGATCTACAGATTCAACAAAATCCTTACAGTCCTTATCAAATCACAGCTGACCTTTTTTGTAGAAATTGACAAGCTGATCATAAAATTCATGTAGAAATGCAAAATACCCAGATTTGATCAAACAATCTTGAAAAAGAAAAGCAAAGTTAGACTCACTTCCAGATTGAAGAAGTTACTACAAACCTACAGCAGTCAGGACAGTGTGTTACTGGCTAAGTATAGACATATAGGTAAGTGGAATAGACTTAATGGTCCAGAAATAAACCTTCATATTTATGTTCAACTGATTTTTGACAATGCACCCAGATAATTACACAGAGAAAGAATGGTCTTCTCAAGAAATGGTACTGGGACAAATGGATATGTACATACAAATTAATGACTTTAGAGCCCTACCTTACACCACACATACACAGTAACTCAAAATGGATGATAGAAGAGCTAAAACTATAAATCTCCTGGAAAAAATATAGGAACAAATCTTTACGACTGGGTTAGGCGACTGTTTCTTTTTCTTTCTTTTTTTGTTTTAGAGATTTATTTATTTATTTGAGAGAGAGCGAGAGAGAGGCAGAGGGAGAGGGAGAAGGGGAGAGAGAATCCTAAGCAGACTCCAAGCTAAGCACAGAGCCCAACATGCGGCTCAATCGCAGGACCCTGTGATCATGGCCTGAGCCAAAATCAAGAGTCAGATGCTTAACTGGCTGAGTCATCCAGGTGCCCCCAACTGTTCCTTAGACAAAAAAATCAAAAGCACAAGTGACAAAAGAAAAAATAAGTAGGATTTCATCAAAATTATAAACATTTGTGCCTTAAAGGACACCATCAAGAAAGTAAAAGGAAAACCTGCAGAATGTGAGAAAACACTTGCAAATCATATTTCTGATAAGGGACTTTTATTCACCATATATAAAGTAACTTCCAACTCTAATAAAAAGAGAAATAACTCAATTTAAAGATGGGCAAAGGATTTCAATAGACATTTCTCCAAAGAAGATCTATAGATGGCCAGTAAGGACAAAGAAAAGTGCTCTACATGACTAGTCTTTAGGGAAATCAAAACCACAGTGACATACCACTTCACATCCACTAGTCTGGCTATAATAAAAAAGACAGAAAACAGGTATTTGGAAAGATGTGTAGAAATTGGAACCCTCTATACATTGCTGGTCAGAATGTAAAATAGTGTGGCCACTTTTGAAAACAGTTTGGTATTTTCTCAAAATGTTAAACATAGAGTTACCATATAGCCCAGCAATTCCACACCTAGGTATATACCCAAGAGAAAGAAAAATGGATGTCCAGACAAAAATGTGTACATTCCTGTTCAAAGCAATGTTATTCATAATAGCGAGAAACTAAAACAACCCACATTTCTATCAGAATGGATAAACAAAATGTGGTATATCCATCCAATGGAATATTATTCTGCCATAAAAAGATTGATATGTGCTCTGACATGGGGGAACCTGGAACACTACTACACTGAGTGGAAGAAGCTGGTCATAAAAGGCCACGTGTTGCATGATCTCATTTATATGAAATGTTCAGAATTGGCAAATCTATAGAGACAGAAAGTCTGAGGCCTGGGGGTAGGTGGGGGGAGGGTTGGAGAATGTTGAGTGCCAGCTAGCAGCCATGGGGTTTCATTTTGAGGTGACAAAAATGTTCTCAAATCAGATTTTGGTGACAGTCGCACAACTTCAAATAAACTAAGAAATCACTGAGCTGCACGCTTTAAATGGATGAATTTTATAGCATGTGAATAATATGATAACAAAGCTATTTTTTAAAAAGTGCATAGGTGCTTACCCATCTATACAGCATGTTTTTGCCATCAATGCCTCTGCCTCATTCCATTTTCAGTGTCCAAGAACGGTGTGAGCTGGGTGTCGCTCGATAAAAGAGATCTTCAGTGACATCTCCTAAAGGCCCCTCCACAGATAATACCCAAATCTCATTTCAGATAGATGGCTTACCCAAACAGGTCTAAGGTGACAGGCTTCACGGCTGCAGCAAGTTTCCGTGGTGTGTCCTCATGCCAGCCACTGTGATGAGCTGGGACATGGCGGGGGGGTGATGTGGGGGGAAGGGACCCAGTCCTTTCCCACAGGGAGCGTCTGGCCACCTGGAAATTCAGACCTGCAGACAATGATGGGGCAGAGTCTTATGACTACAGTTCCCTGAGTGGTGGAGGTGGCAATGCAGAGGGTGAGGGATGATTGAATTTGGAAGAACCAGCTAAGAGTCACTGAGAAAGTGACCTATGAGCTCGGGCTTGAGGACTCGGTGGGGGCTGTCGAGTGTCCAGGGCTGAGTGTGTGTGAGGAAAGGGCATTGCTGGGGAGCTCTTTCTCCTGTTGTTCTCTGTCCTCGCCACCCCTCTCCTCCCCACCCCTAGTGGTTTATTGTGTCAGCTCAGGGCTCTCTTCCCATGGGGGGTCATCCTAGAATTGCAGCTCCAGCCACAGACGGAAGCGAAGCTGGAGCTGGGTCCTGACTGTTCTCGATGTCTGCTTAGCTGTGTGGCCTTGTGTAACCTCCAGACCTCAGGTAACTGCTGGTGGCAGCTTTTATTTCCGGCCCTCTTTTGCTGTTGGGACAGCCCTACCCCAGCCCCTGAGTTTTAAGAAGCAAGTCTGGCTCCAGGTCCCTCCCTTCAATGAGACACTGTTAGTCTCTGATCTCATGGGACCTAACATGTCCGGCTGTTCGGCCTGCTCTGGAAACTGAGGCCTGTGACTGCTGCCTGCTTATCACTTTGACTTTCTGCTCCATGTTGTGCCCTCAGAGGTGTTATTCTTGTTTTCGAAGCTGACAAAGTTCTTTTGGTTTTCTTTTTATAAGTTCATGCCATGTCTAAGAGGGGGACCAAGCGTGAATTTACAGTGATGCCCTTGGATGATATACCCCAGTCAGGATGTGATGCACTGGTAAGCGAAGGCCAGTGATCTAGGGCGGATTG